AAGCTCACCGACTTCGAGGGCAACGCGGTCAACCTGCGCGGCACCAGCTTGAGCTTCTGCATCTACCTTGACGGGTGAGCTGCTCGGACCACTAATTCGAAAAAATGTCTGAAGAAAAAACAGCATGGACGAGGCCACTGCTGCCGCCGAAGCGGAAGCACAGCCTGGGCAGCCGACAGCTGAAGCGACTGCTGAGGTGGGCGCGGAACCTGCTGCGGCCAAAGAAGAAGCCCCGCCGGCTGCACAGCCGGTTGCTGCGCCGAAGAAGCGCAGAGGAAGCCTGTTCCCGCCCCTGTAGCCGCTGCGGAGGAGCCCGAACCCGAGGAGCCGCTGCTCACGCCGGCCACAATGAGGGCCATGAGGCAGCTCTCGCGGGCCGACCGCTTTGAGGAGCTGCTCACGCGAAACACCATGGAGTTCTGAAGACTATGATGAGCATCGAGCCACGGAACGAGCAGCAGATGCTGCGCCAGTTCTGGAAGAAGTACCCCACCTACAACCTCAACGCGCTGATGCGCAAGCGGTACGAGGAGCTCATGGACGCCAGAGCGTTCAACGAGTGGCTCCAGAACCGGCAGCTGAAACGGCAGGGCGAGGAGTACGCCGACGCCATAGGCAGGATGGCGGAGACGGTCAACCGCAGGATCCCCCAGCTCCGGTGGGCCGGCGCGGAGCGGCGGCAAGTGCTCCGAGCCAAAACATGGAAGAACAGAGAGCCTTCGGCTTCCGAGTGCGTCCTCGCTTCTTGGAGGTGCTGGAATACATCGAAGAAGGCGAGCCTTCTTTCGGCATCCCTCTGCCCAACCGCAACGCCAGCATCTACAGATCCAGCCACTTCTACCTGGACGAATTCCCGCAATCCACGGAGCCGTTGGCCGAAAATCCAAGGCCGCACACTCAGCTGGGAGCGGCCATCGAGAACGACTTCGAATCCGCCGACGATGGCTATCAAGGCAGACCTTTCCCTCAATTGCAGCGCCCCAGTTTTCTGCAGCCTGGGCCCGACACAGACACGGAGGACGAAGCTTACCGGAGAGATGGCTTCGATCCGTCAAGGCCTCCAGATCCAGGCCAGCCCAGCAGCAGTCTCAGCGGCCGCGTCGGCGAGGCCGCTGCAGCTGGGCTCACGAGCATCATTGCTGCCGGCGCCGGTGGAGTGGGCCAAGCTGCGCAGAACTTTGGCTTCAGGAATGCCACCAGAGCAGCGAACGCAGTGGAGCAACGGGTGTTCCCGCAGATCATCGGCCGCCCAACAGACGCGCAACGCGTCATTGAGCAGGCTGGGCAAAGAGCGCAGCAGATCCAGAGGGCAGCCGCCCAAGA